CTCTCAACTCAATCACAGCCAGCAGGGGTTAACTGCTCATACAGCGGAGGTGTGGAGGCCTGAGTTTTGCACATCAGTTCCTGTTTGTCTATATCATCTTCATGGCTCCTAATCAGTTTTCAGCCGCTGTGTAGCCATTTAAGCACAGTGGGGCACTCAAACACAACAAAAGCCCTCAGGTGACTGGCAGATACACAGGAGACAGTTTGTTATCCATCAAAAGGCACACATACTATTTATTCTCTCCTGTTTTCAGCAAACTGTCCATTAAAATGAAATTATGAAGGAAAATACTGCATTAACATTTGTATTAGGAATGATGTGACTTACTGAAGATTAAAATGTAGTAATGTTTTTAAAATGTTACACATTAAAAAAGAAAATTAACTAGAGAGAAGCAAAGGCTTTTCATCATGCTAACTATTCCATGCAACACTCACCGCGGACACCTCTTTTGGGATTTGATGGTTTGCGAGGTCCTTGAACATTTGAGTTGCTGGGACCTTTGAGGACATGAGTGGGCGACATGCTGCGATGAGGAGACTTCCTGTGTGGAGGGCATGTTTGGGCCTGCACCTTATCAATCATCTCTTGTTTACTGAGGGCAGAATCCAAAGTCTAAGAAGAAGAGAGTCACAAGACAAAACAATGTGGATTATTTACTTAGAAAAGATTTGTCCCGAACAAAATAATCTGGACATGTAGACAAATAAAGTGGATCATCAATTATTGACCTAAAAAAATGAATAATAATAATTTTGGAGTGCATCAAGAGACAAATGTAATGCAGTCATGAAGTAAGCGTATGTTATGAAACAAGTCAGGTGAAGAAAGTGCAGACTCAGCACTTTGAGTGTGTTTATAACCATATCAAATTAAAACTTTAGGACCTGTAAACATTTCATGCATGTTTGGAGAATTAAAATGAAAAGGTAAAAAGGTCTGTCAGTCTTTGAACCACTGAAAACATGACACAATGTTTACTCTCCATTTACCCTTGTGACTGATATGGCCTGTGAAAAATTGTTGGGTTGACTGATCACTCAGTAAATTGAGAATTTAAGTCTCGCTCTACTGCCCTAAAAGTCGCAACCAATGCATACAGAGTCAGCCGCATTGTAGTTATTGTTACATTTAACATCTACTGTGCTTGAATAAAGCCAAAGCACTGAAAACACATTTTATACTCTTCACCTCGAGTTTCTGCAGGATGTTGAGGGCAGTCTCAGGCACAGCTGAACCCTGGTCCACTTCAACCTTGGCTGAACACAATGAGAGCTGGCGAATCAGCCGGCCCAGCTCTTTGTAGTGGGGAGGCATCTTGCTAAGGGACACATCTGAAAGCTGGTGGGTGACATCTTGTAAGGCCCTGAGTGCCCCACGGTGGGCGGCTGCAAGTCTGTTTATTGCAGAGGACTGAAAGAAAAGCACAGAGTAAATCAGTTACACATAAAGAAAAACAGATATTTAAATGATTTTTGCTGGGAATGCAGCTCTGAAACCTTTCAAAAATCTCTCAAGCTGTCATAGAAGCAAATACAACTAATACTAGTACAGTGTCAGATCACTAATCGGTGAATCTGTTTGAAGGACTGGCATGTAGAACACTAGTGTTTAAAACAAATAAATGGACCTATCTCTATACAAAAGTAAATCTGTAAAATCGTTGTTTACATACCTTTTTGGTATCCGTCATCTGCTGGCTTCTTAGTTTCTCTAGGTCTTCTTTTACTTCTTTTACCTGTTCAGTAACAATTTCATAGAACAGTGGTTATAGATACAGAGCAAATTAAGAAGTCTGTTAAGTTTTATTACTCACATATATTTGTCAAAGGTTTTGATACCTGTTGCTGAAGAACATATATAGTTTGTGATGAACGTGCTGCCTGCTTCTGTCTGCGCATCTCCAACTTGTTTTTCTCTTCAGGCTCCAGTGGCTCCTCTGTTTTCTCCCCTGTTGTTTAAATCCCATCATTTATTATTATTAATGACAATTTTTGAAATGTAAAACCATAGAAGAACTCTGCAGATGCAGGTGTGTTCTGTAATTATAGTGTCATTATAGTTTACCTCTGTTGGCCAGCTCTTCTACTTTCTGAATATATACTTCAAGCTCATTTTGCAGCTTGCGGATTTCCTGGCTCAGAGGGGTCGGTTTGCCTCCTTCTGGCTGCCTTGACCTGGGGTCTCTGGTTGGGAGTGACAGGCCGAACCAAGGCTTTTTACTAAGGGGGGGTTTCTGGGATGTTTGCTTTGCAGGACGGGCTGTTTTCTCTTTTGGACTGGAAGTCTTAAACTTAATCGTATTTGGTGTGCTTTCAAGCTCCTATAGAGAGAAAAAGAGTCAGTTCCATTACTGAGTGAAAAAAAAAGACATAAATCAATAAACTATAATAGTCTTTACTGTAAAAGTAACACTTCAGTAATTGAAGACAATGACCCTTCAATCTCTAGTGATTACCTGTAGCAGCTCTGCATCACTTGTTTCAAGGCGTAAGGCCTCTTGAGAAGCTTTGACAGGGGATTTTATCATTGACTCGAGGCGCCTTCGTCTCAGATCTCGCTTGGCAAGCTTCACGGCCGCCTGCAGCCTCTCCTCAGAGAGTGCGGTGAAGCTGATGGAACTGCTGCTGCTGTCCAAATTCACACTCCTTTCGGACAGTGGCAGCAGCCTCTCTATCACGATGGGTGCGGGCGGGTGGACACGGGTGGCACGGTTGCCGGCACTTGCAGGGATGGCTTTGTTGAACAATAGCTGCGTAATTGTGAAAGACACATGGAGGATACTAATCAGTCATTATCAGTCATGTGAAATGATCAGCAATGGTGACATCCTATCATGCTTTTCAAAGCAATTCCTGGATGGATGGATGGATCCCTAGGGAAATTTAGGCATCCAAGAAGTATTTGCTAACAGAGATATTGACAATACAAATATTTTAAGAAGAAGGAGATGGAAGGTGACCGAGGCAGAGGGTTGAAGACAAATATAATATGATTTATAGATAAATAACTGAAGCTATAAAAAAAGTTGTGTATTAGACTTACATAGCTTGTAAATTGATGGTACAGCAGTTGTAAGTATATAACAGTGCAAGAGTAAAACATAAAACACAAGACTAGAGATATAAAATAATATAAAATCAAATAAACATAAACATAGGCAATGGTGGTGACAGTCTGGCAGCCTAGTGACATGGTTAATTCGTTAATCTATCTATGTTAATTATTTATTAATCTGCAGTTTTCATAAATCCTGAAATAGATACAACAGTTGTTAGGATTTCCGGTAAAGTAATTATATTGGAAAGCACCATATACTACAGTCCACTAAATGTCCTTATTACGTTAAATTAAGTCAACACCAGTTTTTACAACATCAAATGAATAACTCACTGATTATTGTACGGAACTAAAATGGAATTAAGTGGATATAAACTGAACTGTATGAACACGGGTAACCGTGTAAGAGGAACTACTTGTTATAATAACATCGACGTATATTATATTATCAGGTCATAGACACGTCCTCCTGTTGTTTACCTTGGTCTGAGACATCCCAGTGGTCAAATCTGTTCGGTTTCGTGTTGGATCTAAAACGACCCAGTCTCTGTCTTCACTCTGTTGATCTGTGGGAAACGTGGGACCGGTCTGCAGCATCCGTGCAGCCATGACGGGAAAAACAAGCACCGACTTCCCTCAAACTAACATCTTCAGCCGAGGAGAGTTAGCTTTACTAAGCTACCTACGCTTTTGAATTGCAGTCTGCTAACGTCAAGTCCGTCTAAAAACCAACCGTTCAACCATTTTGACTTTCTGCTACAACCGCTCTTCTATTATAAATGAGCAACACGCATAACTTTTCTCATTGTAGGTTCACTCAAATAAAATACACTTAATAGTTTTAGTCTAAGCTTGACAACATTTTAAATCGCCGCCATGACAACAACAGACCCCAACCAACCGGAAGTAGTTTTTAAGATACGTTTACGTCGTGTCGTTTAAATCTAAATGACGATCAGCTATAGTTAAGATATCTGGACTATCTGATGTCGACTTTATCTTTCTGTTCGGTGACAAACACACAATACAGACATTTCATGAAAGAATGGCTGCACATGTACCGCTGCTGCAGTTGCATCCACATAAAATTCAGTTTTAACACTAGGAAATTAGATTTGACTAACATTTTAGCTACAAACAGTTTTGTATCTGTTATAATTTGTAAAAGACATTTTAAATTACGAAGCAAATTAAAAATGTTATATGCCGCGACTACAAGATTAGCAGACGTAGAAAACTCTTAAATCTGGTACGTTGCTTGTTTTTCCCACTGTGCCCTCATTGAATGAAGGCAGCATATACGGATCCTGAAAAGAGTCAAAACAAAAACCCCAAAGCGCAATTTTAATCAAATTCATTGCAGTGACTTTGCATTTTTCATTAACTCCAAATACCACACTATGAAAATACTTCATTACAAGTGGGTGTCCCGCATTTAAACCCCTTCCTCGGTGGAACATATAAAATAGCAAAATTTACTTGAAGTTAAAATATTGATTTTGCTAAGAAATATTTTATATTCTGTTTTTCTTGTTGCATAATTCATTTTCTTTAGATTGATATTTCTCACATATATTTGCACGTTTTTTTAATTTTAGCACACGTTGTTTGCATATGCTCATTTGAATAACTTTAACACTTTATACAGGTAGTTCATAAGAATAATCAAAAATCACCAGATATAGAGATGTTAATTAGGCAGGAAGGGAATATTTCCCCTTTGAAAGTGAGTATATAATTTACAAAAAGGAAATAATTTGGCTTATGCAGGACTTGAATAGGCCTGAATCTACATATACACATGCATCAATAATACAAACATTTTTCTGTTGTGTGTTCTGAATATGTGAAATGATCTGTACCTCACTAAAATTCAAATAGTGATCTTAAACGCTGCATTCTGCAGGTGCACTGTCCCTTTAAGAAGCTCTGCACAGGACCGGAAGTGCTTGTGTCAAGTTTGCAGTATTTCTCCCAGGTTCAGTGTCAGTGGATCAGAAATATTTCTCCACACTTGTGGGGCATCCCAGCTTTAACCTGAACTCACAGAGCCTTCACATAAACTCGGTGTGAACCATGGCTCAGTATGAAGTAGTGAACGTGCGCGGATATGGAGAATTCTGCCACGCTGTGTCTGAGAGAAAAGGAAAAGACATCTTTGCTTATTTCTCTGGAGATAAAGACGCTCAGGGAGCAAGCTGGTGTCCAGACTGTGTGAAAGGTAAATCAGATACTTAAATACGCCACAGTTATTACACATATTAGATGCTTGTTCTTCCATTTTGGGGAAACTCCATTGCAAATGCAGCTGACTTCTCTTTGCTGTGGCAGTGAGTCAGGTCTGCTCATATACAGTCTGTGGGTGTGAGGTGTTGCATTGATTGATTGTGATGCATATTAACTTCTTATCTTGTGCACTTTGATTTGCAATCGCAACAGTTTGTGGTCTTCTCTTTCAGCTGAGCCTGTGGTGAGAGGAGAGATGAATCATCTTCCTGAAGGATCTGTCTTCATCTACTGTCAAGTTGGAGAAAGAGCTTAGTCAGTATATTTACCCTTCTTTATTATTGCAACATCTTAAAACGAACTGTTAGTCACACACATGACATGTGCTGCTTAAATTCACGACTACAGATCATTGCATTATCAAATATTTTTGAAGAATCAGACGTCTGCTTTATTACATATGATTTTTCAATTAACATTTCTTTTAACTTACAGTGTGGCCTATACAGCCCAAATAATTGTATAGCAGCAGGAAATGAAAATACAAGTAACTCTTTATATTTGTGACTTAGCAGTAACTTACTTCATACATTGTCAATAAAGCTTGATTAACCTGCTGTGAGACTGAGGCCAAAATGTGTTCTGTTAACTGCTACTGTACATATGCAGATTTATTATTTCTCTAAAAATTATATTATGAGTTGAGGTGGTTGACTGAAAATGAATTGGAAATCATGTTGATTGATACTGTTGAAGGATTTTTTAAAGAATTCACAGGTTACATCTTTTAGATGTGAATATTTGCTTGTTTAGCAATTTTCTCTGATGGTCAACTCAACTTGTTTGCATTATTGACATCTAATCAGGGATTAGAATATATTGAATTAAGCTTCAGGGACCCACAAGTGGCATTTTGATGCTTTGTAGATTGAAGATTGGCTGATAAATGTATTGTTATAAAAAATTAGATGTATTGATAATTGTTGGTCTCAGCCTTACTGTACATCCTCAGAAGAATAATACTACCAAATGTTCAATTACTGTTCAGTTACTTTGCACACATTAGAATTTGAAGCAGTTTGATTAAAGGACAAAAGATCACAGCATAAATCCAAACAGTGAAGATCTTTAAGCCCATGACTCCCTCTGTTTATACAAAGATGCAACCTGGAGGATGGGAAAATAGAGTAGATAATTGACGTCAGTGTTCTAACAAATTTGCAATGATTCAGATTACATAGACAAAAAAAGATATGCAGTGCTTTGCTCAGTTGTTAATCCAGCCTTGATCACTAACTGTCCTATGTGATCATCAAAATTAAACATTTTCCTTTCAAAAGATAAACTACTAGTTTCAACAATTGACTATGTATGAATCTCAATTTGGCCTTTGATTGTTAAACTGCTCAGCAAGTTAAAGTGAGAGAAACAGTAAAATATGAGAGACAATAAAGTATTTTGTTTCACCTTGTTTATTTGTTAAGATCCCATTATCTTAAACTGAAAGCAGAGTTAGTCATCATGGGGTGCACAGTTTAAAACATAGATACATTTAAAAACATTTACTAAACCTTTCAATCATCACAGATACAAAAAAAATATTTTATGAGTAAAAACGTAATCTGATACCTGTCACATTTTATGTTTCGTATAATCAATCGTTTATAGACAAGTCAATAAAACATGATTCTTCTGGAACTTTTTTCTCTCAGAGCAAGGGAAGTTTTTAGGGAATAAAAGTGAACTTGAGCTGAAAATCCTTCTCACGCTTTCAAAGCCTGTTCTTTATATGTCTTGCATCATATCAGCGTCTTGATTATGTCTTTTTCATGCTTCAGTTGGAAGAATCCAAATAATGACTTCAAGAAGACTCTGAAGTTGAGTGGAGTTCCCACCCTACTGAGATATGGCACAGTAAGAATAACTACAGTTGGAATTTGCTTGATTCTGCAACACAGAATATAACTGTTGAATATTTTACCGAAACATCCTCAGAGATGAGTGAGATAAAAAGACTGAATTTAGTTTGAATACTTTGAATACTACTTTTTAAGTACCTCTGATATGCAGCAAAATGAAAAGAGAGCTGTGTGATCTGTTTGTTTCAGCCTCAGAAGTTGGTGGAGGACGAATGCTTCAAAGCAGAGCTGGTGAGGATGATGTTCACTGAGGACTGAGGGATGCTGCGCTGCTCACATCACTCATGAAGCATTCAAGACCTCTCCACTGTTGAACGGCTGCCACCATTCAGTTTCAGCGCCCCTGCATTATTGAATATTGATAACCTTTCACCAGACGCATCTCCTTCTGTAATTTGATACAAATCATCAAGTGTACGACTGAAATAATGAACATCGCTTGTAATAAACAGCCATTCCATTCATTCTATACTGGAACAACAGAGCAGATGTAACTCTCACTTGTTTTGCTCTGTGTACAATCAGTCAGTCCTGAGGTTGACACATTTCTTCACATGTAATGTAAGACACTACGGAATTATAAGAATATCTTGGATTTGTCTTTATTATGACCATTTAATGTGATTTATTTTTTTTGCCTTACAAAAAGACTTGAATAAAGTGACACTCAGTGTTGAACATTTGTGGCAGAAGAAAACTTGTGTAATTTGTTGTTTAATGACCCAATTGGTGACAAGCTAAAACTTTAGCCAGTAAAACTAACAAGAGTTTTGAACTACGTTATGGCAAATAGAAGTTCTGCTTTCAAAGTCCTACTAAAGGAAATGTACCTCAAGTATCAAGAGTAAAACGTATCATTCTGCTGTAAAATGTATAATTATGTGAAACTAAGCAACTTTATTAAATCATAATACTGATGCTTCAATTCTTTGCAGTGGCTCAAGATGGTGCTATAGTGCCACCCTGGTGGCAGCCTGTTGCAGCAGCTCTAGCTGAGTTTTGAGCTCTTTTACTATTTCTATTTTTTGTCTTTGCTTGTGTCTATACAGCATGTTCACGTATTCATTTCTTTTTATTTAACGGATGTTTCTTATTTTTCTATTCCCTTTGCTGCTGGGATACTGCAGATTTCCCCAGTGTGGGACGAATAAAGGATTATCTTATTTTATCACCTCGCAATAGCAGCAGATCAACCTGAGGTTTTGACAGACGGAGACAAAGGAAAAAAAGACAATTTTTGGAATCTTTAACAATCTGAATTTATGACGAATTTGATAATTACAGTTATTTTGATATACATTTGTTGTAACATTAAAAATAGTCTGTATTTGATATGTAATGTATTCTTTAAAGTGAAATCTACTTGTTAAAAGTAACTAGTAGATACAAATGTCAGTGGGAAGCTGAAGGTAACTTGCAATTTAGTGTAAGTATACAGTAGCTTAAAATAGAAATACTCAAATTTATTACAAATACCTGAAAACTTAATTTAATTACAATACATGACTAAGAGTTGGGCAATAAAACTATTAATAATTATCGCAATATCATCAATGGTTCAACATATACTTATAAAAAGCTGGATTGTATTAGCACAGTGAGGAGGTATGACACATACTAGACACATCTACTTGAGATTTGTTAAACGTTTTGCTGTTTGTCAAGTGTTTGTCATTTAAACCATAACCTTCAATCATGAGCCAATATCAGTCTTTAAAGGTTCCGTGTGTAGGATTTAGAGACATCTAGTGGTGAAGTTGCATGTTGCAGCTTAATGGGGTATTCAGTTACCTTCCAGATGTGAAAGAGAACCTGTTGTAGACATCAAGTTGTCAAAAAACTCAAAAGGTGTTTAGTTTGTCCATTCTGGGCTACTGTAAAAAACATGGCAGCTTCCGTAGAGGACCAGCTCCTGATATAAATATAAGAGCTAATTCTAGAGTAAAGAAAACAATTTGTACAATTTAGTGATCTAGTGAAAACATTGCTAGGAATATTTTATATTCAATTTCACCCATGAGATCCCTTTCACTTAAATGTTACACACTGGACCTTTAAACCAAAAGAAATAATAAAGTAACATTTATCATGATGAGAATCATTTCCTACTGATACGAACAGTTTCGTCTTGATCTAATTTTTGTCTCTATCGTCCGGGCTACTTGAACAAATGTACCTCGTTATTATTCATCACTGGAACTCGGTGATGCTGCCAGTAGCCAAGGTATTCTCCTCCTGTGAACACTAGGTGGCAGCAGATTCATAAGGATAGTGTTTAGTGGCCCTCAGCCTTATCTTTAAAACAAATTACAGAATATAAATTAAACTTGTCTAATAAAGCTGATTATGAATTCATGAATCAGGAGCATTTGATAATATCTGATGTTAATTCGGGCTCAAACCTAGAATCAGGATAATTATAATCTGAAGATTAGACAACATTTAGGGAAATAAAACATGTAACTCTGATTTAAAAGCTCCATTTGCAGTATTTAACACATACAGATCCTCAAAGTGTCGTGTTTATGTGTTACAGTTATAACCAGTTGTCATGGTGAAAGTGTCGCTGTTGCAGTCAGGGCCATTTAAGCGGAGCGCATTCCTGCACAGCGCGCACACCGGAGGAGGACGAGCGGCGGCGAGACGCTTCACAGACCGCAGCACCGACACAGGAGCCGGAGCTCAGCCAGAGAAACACCCCCGTCACACCGGAGGCGGAGGAAGCGCGGTGCTGTCGCCTCAACGCAGCGGTTTACATGCGCAGCTGTCTCGGCTGAGGGCAACGTCGTGTGTTCGCGGACCGTGCCGCTGCGATGTCGGAGTTCCTGGTGGGTCTGCTCGGGGAGCGGCTCGTCAACAGCGAGAAAGCCGAGGTGGACGTGCACTCGCTGGGCGCCAAGCTGTCCCTGGTCGGGCTCTTCTTCGGATGCAGCCTGAACGCGCCGTGCAAGCAGTTCAACGGGAGCCTGTGCGAGTTTTACAGCCGGTTCAAGAAGACGTCCGAGCACAAGGACAAACTGGACATCGTCTTCATCTCGTCGGACCAGGACCAGAAACACTGGCAGGACTTTTTGCAGGAGATGCCCTGGCCCGCGTTACCTTTCAAAGACAGACACAAAAAGGTAAGAGGGCGACGAGAGGACACCCATCCCCGAAACCAGTGCTGGTTCTCTGGAGAGGGTTCACTGTGTTTACCGGGCTGGAAATCACTGGAAACCACTGAACAGGCCACGTCTGCTCCCTCTGTGTGTGTGCACAGGTGTACCTGCTTTAATTTGGATTTATTCTAAAGGTTTACACTCATCTTTAACCTCTTCTTGATCCAAATCTGAACTGGATCAATCCAATCAAGTTAAACTAGTTATTGATAACAAATCTGCAACTGTTTGTATATGAAACGAATTCAGATTTACAAGAGTCAATTACATTTTAACCTTAAATTAAATATATAGGCAAAGTGTAAATATCAGATATACTTGCACAGAACAAATTCAATGAAAAACTGACATTAAAATCACATTTCAGCCTCTTGACAATAACACAGCCAGCAGAGGAAGTATTTATCCTCTGATTTAATTTAATCAAGATAAACAAAATGTGTTAGGCCCCCACACCCAACTGTTATTAATGAGAGGAAACTGAGAGAAGCACTTCATTTCCTCTTTGTCCATTCACTTCAGTTTTGTTCAGGGGACTGACTACTTCTGGAAACACAATGTTCCAGCTGAACATCTCAGTGTCATCATATTGCATCCAACGTGTTTTCCACGTTGGTGCATGTGTAGGCTGCACAGTAAAGACCTGTTCTGCCATCACCTCATCTCGAGCTTTCCCTAAAGGTGACAACAATGCAGCACTTAGATTATTTCCACCTCCTCGATTTGATTTATCTGTCTTATTTAAGACTTTTTTTTTTTAGTCCAGTTTTTGTAAATCCTGAGGCTTTATAGGATTTATTTTTTTAAATGTGCCTAAATACTTTTTAAAATAAGCATTATTATTATTTTAACATGTTATTGTTTTATTAAATCACATAATCTATCATATTTTATAGTTGACTGCACACTAATATTTTGAAGAATTAGATTTCAAAGAAGTTTTATCAAGATAGATGTTGTCATTTTCTTTTGTTTATAGCTAAACCGACAAGAAACAAACAAAGACAAACAAAAAGAATTCACTCGTGAAAAATTTTTTTTTTTATTTATGACAGATAACATCTGTGGTAGGTTTTCTTCACTGGCTTCAACTGCAGATGTATAATGAAGAATGCCTTATTAATCTATATAAAGACGGACAATGTCTTTATATAGGTTACACAGTGTGTGTGCTGCGGCCGTCCCAGCATCCTGGTGGCAGCACAGGTCTCTATTCCTAAACCCAAATGTTACAGCAGATGAGGCATAGTAAGATACAATACTGAGCCGTATTTACACTGTATTAGTCATGCATGTCAATGTTGATTTTCTTTGCAGGGTAAAATATTAAGATTAAAACTGGCCAAATTATAGTAAAAAGGATTTTTGACCCCTTGCTTTTTAAGTTGAGATTTGATTATACGTAAAAGAAAAATGAATACTGAGAAAATGATATATATTGAAAGAATAGTGTTAGGCAAATTAAAGAGTATTTTTATTCTGTATTTTGTCAAAAAGGATTTACGTCTCTCAGTCTTTAGCCGATTCCTCTGTCCTCTGTGTAGGTGAGACATGACTTGGACTGAATCATTGCCTTGTAAATTCTTTCAGATAGCCCATAATGATTTCTGCATCACTTCATAATGAAGTCCAGGCGTGAATAAAGGCTCAGGGATGACAGGGGAGTGGGGGTTGTCTTGTTGTTGTCTGGGGCGTAGCACACCCATCGCCACAGTGCAGCGTCATTGTGTTCTAACTGCATGTGGAAAATATCTGCGGCATCAACGTAACCCTCGTTAATGCTCTCTCCGGTCGTCTGTTGGCTGCCTCGGCCTTATGACACAAGAGCAACGCAGTCGTGTGTCTGATTTGCAGAGGCCTGCAGTTCTGGCACAGCCTGGGCTTCGTCCAGCCTTCGGCCTATTCTCCCTCTCACCATTGTAATACAGCCTCGACAATGCATGTTTCAGTAAGCAGCTTTAGTACAGTAACAGCCGTTTATGAATGTGACATCTGCAGGAGCACACTGAGGGTGTCGCTACCCCTCATCATCCTCTAATTAATTCCTGATTTATGCATGTTGGCATTTAAAGTGTATTGTAACAGTACAGCAGTATGCTGTGACCCGAGCATTCATTCACACTGCAGCCGTTCTCCTGTCCAAACCACTGGTGCTAATCTGTGGAAGATTGGATCCTTCAGGAAAACATTTTTAATTCAGAGTTTAGGTTGATGCCTATTTCCTATTATATTGTTGCTTAATTAGTTGCCTATTGTGTGTGGATTTACGCATCTCAGTGAAAGACGAGGAGGTGGTCGACTCAGGACAAAGATGCACACGTTTTAAATATTTTTGGTTATGATCAGACGTGTCTTAATCAATTGCGACGATCGTATTTTGCAGACCAGGAAGTGTGAAGTTAGCTGGAGCCATAATCAGCTCGGAGCAGCACAGGAGGAAAGACCACTCATAATGTACCAGCAGGTCTGAATGTGAGCTTTACATTAACCCAGGAGGATTTATGTGTGCTGTACAGGGACCTAATGGGTGAGCGATGTTGACCCAGTGAGGGCTCTGTTGATGTTGTGGGTCTGCAGAGACTTAAGTGTCCCTCTCCCCTCTCCTCTCAGGATCTATTTGACATGGTGCAAGCAGAGCTCATCTCCTGGTGAAGGATGCGATTTTTCTTCATGCTCGTCCTTCAGAGCCTCAGCCACCTTATGACTCAGACTGTACCTCCTCCTCCTCCTCCTCCTCTCTGCTCCCCCTCCTCCGCCCTGTACTCACTTGGCTATCTCTCTCACTGGAGGCTGTCCTCTTTTCTCTCGACCCAGGGGTTATCCAGGCCTTCCCGTCGCAGGAAATGTTTGTTATTTATTCAAGAAGGGATTGTGTTCTTGATTAAATGTAGAGAGAGTGAAAAAGGCTGGTGATGTTAACTCAAAGTCAAGGCCAATATTTTTTTTAAGGGGAAAAAAGGTGAAAACTGTCATGTATTTCTCTGGTGGTTTGTAACCGAAATACATGGAGTGAAAAGTGTAATTGGTTTTTATATCTTCATGCCAAGGACTATATAGAAATTTCCTCATGTGCATGTCTAACTTGAAATAAAAAGTTTCCCGGGAATCTTTTACATTATAAATCTTACACATGCATTCCAGTATTTGAATGTTCCTTTTTTCCACTTTTAAGGTGGTATCACTTCAAAACCCAGACAGACCAAGAGGTCAGAACATCGTCTTTTCTACAGTGCACTGAATACACTCCATTGTATCATTGGGGACCCTCGAATAGCTCGTTCTCAGTGTGTAGACGTCTGCTTGTTGTTTAGCGACGGCCAGCTGTCTGGCTGTCTTGGCTTGCTGGCACTGCCTTACATGGTCTTGTGTTGCGGGAGTGTGAGCGCTCCATGTAAATCAATTAAAGCATGAGCCAACGCAATGTGAAAACCCAACTTGACCAAAGGGGGAGAACAAGCTGAGATGCTGCCAGAGTCCTGCAGAAGTCAAAGGGGTGGGTGGGGGGGGGGGGTTACATCACAGTGAGAGAAAGGCCTCTTGTTCAGGTCCTCCTGGTCGGCGGTTCTGCTCTGTAGCTGGCCCCCAGAGGCAGGACACCCGCTCACTCGGCCCACAGCCAGGGGCTCAGGGTGCAAAGGGGCTACAGAGAAGGGGCTAAGCACGCCTTTCATCAATATGTCACTGATCTGCTGAAAACTGCGGTGCACCCTGCCCATCATCATGCAGCTCAGCCCTACTTGCCCTGTGACAGCAGAAGTGGCTTGAAAAGGGCCTGAACTGTTTTATCTGCAGGTGCTAATTCTTTGTTCTTGATCCATCACTGTCACATTTGGTTTTTGTGGGAGTGTGTCGCTGGATGTTTTTTTTCCTTTGTTGTGTGCACTCACACAGTGTGTGTTGGTAACATGAACAGACTGTGACATTTTTGAGGCTTCTGTGATGTGGAATATCTGTAATTGAGAGCTTTAGAGTTAATTGTAGGATTCAGAGAGGAGGTATGCGTCGCCCGTTTCTGTTCAGACTGCTTCTACTGCAGCTCGTGGGAAAAAAATGCGTGTATGGTTTCAGCAGCAAATCCGACTTAGTTCTAGAAGGTCACCAAATAGGTAGTAAGAAAAAAGAATTGATTGCTCTTAAATAACCCTTAATATCACAATTTAAAGGCAAGTATACTGTAAGAAAAACCAATAGATCATTAGTATATAACTGGGGCAGTTCCTCTTCTGTATGCTGTAGAAAAATGAGAAAATTCATACCAATGCAGATGGAACAACAAGAAAGTCAACAGGAATGGCCTGACATGGATTATTCTACCAAATGAAGCTGTAACCATGAAACGGTGAAACTCACTTTTACATTCCTAACTCTGATCAAAGTACAGAAGTAGTCTAATGTGAAGTTGGCTGAGGTACTAAACAGAAAAAGAGTTAATCCTCACTTCAAAGCATTTGACCCCAGCAGATTAAATGATCCTAAAAATACAAAGTTTCAGGTTAAGTTATTTTAATATTCAGGAATTTATTTCATGTTTTACATACTAACATTGAATGACCGTAAGAAATGTACCCACGCTAATCTAGATTATCAATTTCAGTCTTAATTTGTCTTTATTGCATCTATTGTAGGGGCCTTTTCACTTTACCAAAATGGCTGAGGTCAAAAATACTCAGGAGCCTGTCTTAGATTTAGTAAAGGAAGCTGTATGTTGTTATAGTACCTCTAACAAAATATACTGTTAGTTATATTACACATTTGAATGTTACGTAAAGTTATTACAATAACACAGAAAAAACTACAGCATGTTCTTAAGGATATTCATTATGTGGATTTGCACATCTGGATTTCGTTTTTGAGGTGTAATTGTGGGGTCTGTTTAATAGCTGGTTGCATATTTGCGATGCGTTAATACTTATTTGTCTGGTTCACATCAGCAACAGCATATAATTTGTTTCCCACGTTAATGA